TTCTAACAATTGTGTTGCCTAATTAACTAGATCAAAAGACAAGAATATGCATTTAACTCCAACGTCAATTTTCTGACAATAACTTGAAATAAATTTGGACTTTCTAATCCTGCCCAAAAAAAAAAAAGTTACTACCAAGAACTTGTATTTAAAAAAAAACGTCATACTTATAATTAATTGGCATTTAATTTCTCTTGTATATCTTTGGCTCCTCCCAAAAGCCAACAATTAATCCAGCTTTTCAAGTTTTCCTTTTGGCTTAATTGTCATGCATCATAAATATCCTACTGCATTCAATACTCACTATTCCTAGCTCCCTGACCTTGGATGTTCCCTTTCTCTTTTTCAAAGGAAAAGAGAACATCAAAATTTCTCTTCCTTCAACTTCAGTTCTCATCAGAAGTCATAACCATGTGTGGCATTCTAGCGTGCCTTTGGTGCTCCGATGACTCTACATCCAAAAGGGCTCGCGTAATCCACCTCGCTCAGAGGCACACCTTCGCTCTATTTTCTTCGTTTTTTTTTTTATCACTCATCATACGCACTATTAGCTGCATGTGGCACTCATAATATCGTATCTTATCTGATAAATAACGTATAGCTACCTAGCTTTGTACCAGTGGTCGATCTTAACTGTCCTTTCACTAACCAGATCAACTTGTTCATCTGGTTCAGGTTGAAGCACAGGGGTCCTGATTGGATGGGGATTTTCCAACAAGGAGGCAACTATTTGGTTCATCAGCGATTAGCAATCGTGGATCTCACCTCTGGAGGAGATCAACCCCTCTTCAATGAAGACCACACTATTGCTGTCATAGTACGTGCCTCTTGAACTTTGCCTTAGTTGTTGAAGTAGTTTACATGAACGCCAGCAAATTAAAGGGGTGTGATTCATGAACATGAATTAATGTACATTAATTTCGATAAAGGCCAATGGAGTGATATATAATCATGAGGAGCTCAGGAAACAATTGCCGAATAGGAAGTTTCGAACGAAAAGTGTATTCGAGGTCATTTTATGCCTGGTACGTAAACAACTGTATATCTTAAACCGAAAATTGGCATTACATGTAATGGCGGATTTTAGTTCCTTAAATATATGAACTGTTTCATATATAGTACGAAGAACATGGAGATATCTTTGTGGACATGTTAGATGGCATATTTTCATTTGTGCTGTTAGATACTCGTGACAATAACTTCTTGATTGCTCGTGATGCCATTGGGATTACATCCCTCTACATCGGCTGGGGAGAAGACGGTAAACATGTAGTAGTTTTAGACTTTGAGTTGAACGTGCTAATTTTCTGAAAGGCAATAATTCTGTCAACCTGAATTGCTTAAATGTTAGCTCAGCATCGATTTGGGTATCATCAGAATACAAGGCCATGCATGAAGATTGCGAGCATTTTGAACGCTTTCAACCTGGGACCTTGTACTCCAGCAAGGACAAAGGATTTCGGTGATGGTTCAATCCTCCTTGGTTCTCTGAGGCCATCCCTTCGTCGCCATATGATCCCACAGTTTTGAGACAAGCATTGGAAAGGGTAAATTTACGCATCATGTTAGCTTATTTATAGCCATTAGATGCATGATTCAGCTTCGTCCACGCCAGCTTAATTAGTTTTATAAATCCAACCCTGCAATTAGTAAGAACGGGCTTCATGTCCTAGGAATTGAAAAAGCCCCACTAATTTCAACTTATACATAACCCGCTATATTGACGTCATTACTGAGATGATCTTGTTGGTACATCAATAGAGCAATTTACGTGAGCCAAAAGATGAATGAATGAATGAATTTGATACACAGGCTGTGATTAAGAGGTTGGTGACCAGTGTTCCAATCGGTGTCTTACTTTCTGGAAGTTTGGACTCATACTTGGTTTCATCCATCACTGCTCGTTACTTGGCCGACGCAAAGGCTGGAATGCAACTGGGAACAACCATTCATTCCTTTTGCATTGGCCTGGAGGCGAGTTCTTCATTCATTTCATTCAACATTACCGATAAAAAAAAAAAATAGCAGATATGACAGACTTTACAGATTAAATAACGATAATTTTCGCATCATCTGTGATGTTGAGCAGGGTTCACCAGATCTCAAGGCCGGAAGAGAAGTTGCAGAGTTCTTGGGAACAGTTCATCATGAGATCCACTTCACTCCTCAGGTATTGACGACAGCTTCACCAAGTCGAGGCTTCATCATTTGCTTTCTTATTTTCCAAAGCTTTAAGCTTCACAATTTTATATTATTTGTGAGCTCATAGGATGGAATCGACGCCATTGAAAATGTCATCTACCATGTGGAGTCCTACGAAGTCGCAACAGTTAGATCCAGCATACCCACGTATTTGATTTCGCGTAAGATTAGATCACACGGAATTAAGATAGTGCTCTCTGGAGAAGGCGCTGATGAGATCTTTGGCGGGTACTTGTACTTTCACAAGGCACACAGCAAGGAAGAAGGCCACCTAGAAATGTGCCGCAAAGTATCTCGCTTCTACACAAAATATATACTCACTTTGTAAGATTGTCTCTGAAGTAAATTTAACACTGAAAATTGTTGTTTCATATGTTAATTTAGCTCAAGGCACTGCACCAATATGATTGTTTACGAGCAAACAAATCAACGTCTGCTTGGGGTCTCGAAGCTCGATTCCCATTCCTGGATAAAGAGTTTGTAAATCTTGTTATGAGCATTGATCCTGATTTTAAGTTGGTAAGACTTATCTCTCTCTCTCTCTCTCTCTAGGTTGGTATTAAAATTACCAATTTTCTTATTGGGCATCTTTTCTACGTTCAACGCATGCAGCCGGGACCAAGAGGAATTGAGAAATGGATTCTGAGGAATGCCTTTGATGATGAAGAACGTCCCTATCTCCCACACGTATGTACTCTGTTCGTATAAAGAATCCTTTAGAGTGTCCAAATGAAACCTCTTGGGGACGAAGATACACATATTTATGATGAACTAGTTGTATTAACTATATGTTCAAATGTATATGAAGTTAACATGTCTTGTCTACATGATTATCGAAAGCAGCATATACTGTGGAGACAGAAAGAGCAAATGAGTGATGGAGTTGGGTGTAACTGGATCGATGCTCTCAAAGAGCATGCTGCCAAACACGTAATTAACATAAATCATACCATTTTCCTCCTGCCTCCATTTGACAACACATCTTTCTCATCTATAGTTGACTTTTTGACTTTATGTACGCATGTACAGGTGAGTGACAGAATGATGCAGAATGTAGCACGCAGCCAGCAACTCCACCCACCAGCAACAAAAGAAGCTTATTACTACAGGATGGTATTTGAGAAGATCTTCCCAAAGGTGACTTGTCAAAGCAACCCATCGTATATAAATGTAAGTATAAAACGGGTTCATTTGCCTGTATTTGCTTCATGATGCAGCAACCTGCGAGGCTGACTGTCCCATGGGAAAGATGCATTGCCTGCAGCACCTCAAAAGTTGTTGATTGGGTGGCAGAGTGGTCAAACAATTTGGATCCATCAGGAAGGGCTGCTTGGGGAATCCACAATGATGCTAACTAGAAGTTGGTCACTGCTGACGTGTTTCACACAGAAAAGGTTATGGCTCAATGAGCAGTTACTGCTCCTACCAACGCTTACGCTCTCAATACAGCCGATAGTCGTCAATAATTAAATGCCCCTGAAGGCTTTTCAAGATGTGACGTGAAAGCGATACTCATCACACAGCCTGGGTGTTAAATTCTGAGCTAACCAGCAAGGTTCAACCTTTAGTTTAATAAGAAAACGAGGCAGCTCTTTTATTTTCAAACCAATTCCCTTGTCACTTGGAATTATGCGAATATGCGATTGAATTCCTTCATTTGGCGGTCAGGATTAAGAGACACATTCCCCATGTATCCATGAAATTTGATAAAATGAATCGTGCATTTGATAATGATTTGCAATAAATTTTATCATACATACTCGCAGCCGTAGGTTACTCGAAACAAGTTATAAAGTAGTTGGGGAAGTTGCAAAAAGAATATGATAGAGCTACTGTACTGCTAGTGCTATACTTGAGGAGCCCACTGATATTAGAAGGCATGAATTCCAAAAAGAAGTTGGAGAGGTCCAAGCAAAGAGGCAGGCATGAGGCCTGAGAAGCTGAGAGAGAACAGCCTTTTTTTTTTTTTTACTTGCGGATATCTTATCATTAAAAGCAGTCATGTTATCAGGTATTAAGTAAACATCTCTCTCAATAAAAATTTAAATTTTAACTTATCATATCATGAGAGACTAGTCCTTTCTTTTAAACCCAACCAGTTGGTAGAAAAACAGCAAATTTGACTGAAGATCGGAATAGCAAAATGTAAACGCAGAAGCACAATGAAGAAACTCACATATCCAAGTCTAGAACCCAAAATCCATTAAGATGATAAGCGAGCCTAACGCCTCTAACCGGACTCTGGACCACTCACGACTTGGGCCATTTGGATAAATTGTCGCTACAGAAAATTTATGAACTATTGAATTATTCAATTAATGATATCATTACGTACATGGTTAAAAACACATTTATCAAAACCAAAACTACAGTTTTTGCAGATCCCACTTTTAAAACTCAGGGGGAAAAGAAGAAAGTCACATGGTAGGCCATTGGAGCGTTCCGCCACAGAATCCCCTCATGATATACAGCAGACAAAGGCCAATAATTTATTTACCATAAAAAAGGGGGCAAAAATTAAACTCATATTCACAGCAAGAGACAATGAGATCAATATCTAGTAGGTCTGCGCTATAAGGAGGGATACCTAATGTCTGTACTAGAAAATACTAGACATATGCACGTACACGTACACGTACATCCTTCACTGTACAGTTAAAATTTTAAATTTTAAATAATAATGATAAATTGATAGTTGCCCGCAAAAATCATTTAGGAGTTAGAATTCTAGATGTCCACCACTGTACTCCAGAAGAAGAAGAAGAAAGCACGCGATAAGGTGATAGAGTGAAGGAGTCAAGTATTAATTATGGTCATCAAATAACACCACATCGCTCAAGAGTTGGATAGATACTGAAATGTCATCTAACCACTGTCAGTGGTCCACTGATGCTGGACATGGTCCTACGTCATACACATCTTACACTCTGGTAGTCATATATTTTACTAAAACCAATTAATCCTTTTAAAATTAAAAAAGGAAAATTAGTGTTACTATGTTCGATGATCGGCGTGATCACCAAAGAGGGGCACAGCAACAAGAGGGGCACCTGATTAGACCATTTTCATTGCAAGAAGTGCAGGTCTTGAAGCCAGTCTTCTCTGTGTACATCTTGCGGCTACCACTACATTCTTCGCAGAGGATGAACCTATATCCACCACACACGTCACACGCCCCTACATCCGCTGCGGGGAAGCCTTCCACGATTTTCTTGAGCTCGCCTATCTCGTTCAGCTGCCTCAACTCCTCTGCGCCGCCGATGTACCTCCCACCGATGAACACGCGTGGCAGCGTCACCTTCTTCTCCCCCAAAATTGACCTCAGCTCCCTCATGTATCCCCCGTCCATCGACACATCCCGCTCGTCCATTTTCACCCGAAACCCTCGCAGAATAAATCTCACGCTCCTGCAATCCTCGAAAGTCGACCTCACCACTCGCAGGCTCGTGTAGTACACAACAATGCGTTGCTCCGCTCCCAGAATGCTTATCGGCGGCGGCGGAGCAGGAGAAGTGTTGTTTTGGACGGTGAGGGTTCTGGTAGGCGGATCCGGAACTGCAGCATCGGATTTCGGTGCGAAGTGGGAAACGGGATTGGGTAGCTTGGGTTGGTGCTGATGCTGAGCTGACCAGGTTCTGAGGAGCGAGCTGGCTAATCGGACGCGGTGGAATACGGTGGCGGCGCGGCAGGGAGAGGGTTGCGGTGGTTCGTCGAGGCAGAGGGTTTGGATGTCTTTAAAGGAGGAACAGGAGAAGGAGGAGGAAGGAGACGGCGACGACGAGGTATTGTGAATCCGAACTGTTGATTTGCCCCAAGACCGCCACATTGAGGGGAGGGAGAAAACGAGCTTCTCCGACGGCAGGATTCAATTGAAGATCCTCAGAACATTGGGGGAATTCTGGAGAAGGAGAAATTGAGAAAGGGCGGAGATTGGAGTTAAATTGAAAGTTGAAGAAAGAGGGTATTGAAGAAGATTCGGCTTTGTTAAGAAGAAAGAAGGCAGGGTGCGATTGCTTGAAGATTGGGCGTTAGTGATTGAAGGAGGAGCTGCAAAAGCGGGTGAATCTGCAGAATGAAAAGTCTTGGGAGCCTCTCTGCTTTTAGATATGTTGTCTGTGTTGGAACTTTATTAACTGAGACGAGAGAGAAATGGTGAAAACCTAAAATGCAAAGAGATTCCTGTAGGGGGTAGTTAAGGTGGTTGAGGGGTTAGTTTCTGTTGCTTTAATTGGAAGGTTTGAGTTGAGATTTGAGTGAGGGAGAAAAGAAGATAAGAGCTGAGCCGCGCGGCCTGCTCGCGAATTAAAAATTAAAAAATGGGCTAATCCTAAATGAGAGAAGCTTTGGGCGAAATTATTTTTACTTTATTGTACTACATTTTATAAAATATTATTTTAAAAACAAAAATAAAAATAAAATAATTGTTTTTTATATTTTTTTTAGCATAATAGTCCCAAAATATTTAAAAGATTCAATCTCATTTATAAATTATATTTTAAAAGGTTTATTTAATCTTATTCATAAATCACGGTATAATTTTTTAAATAATATTTAAAAAATTTTTTTTAATTACCATTTATGAGAAAAAAAGAGTAATATGATATCATTTTTTGAATTTGTTATATATGAATATATTTAAAATTCTATAAATTTTTATTTTTTTTACATCAACATTGATGATATTAATATAAATAATTTATAAAAAGGATTAAAGAAGTATTCTTTTATTCCCCAAAGCAATATTTACTTTTTTTTGGCAAAACACTATTAAAAATATATTATTAAACAGATTTTTTTGTTTTTTTTGTTTTGCTTTAAATAACAAAAAATTATTCATAAAACAGGTTATCAAACAAGCTTTTTGTTTTTATACTTGTAATTTTGTTGTGTCCTCCTGCTAATACCCAGTAATTACTGATCACGTTTGCAATTACACGCACTTTTAGAAGTGGTCAAATATCATAGCCTGTCCTTTAGACCTACCATTAATTAATGTCATCTTGTAAAAAAATAAAAAGAACTATCATTAACTACCAGCACCAACCGGCATGAAAAGGGCTTCATCTCCCTTATTACCAGCTTATTATCATCCAAAGTACAACCTTAATATCATCATCCTACATTGATTAGCCTTCAAACTTGCCACGTCTTCAAGTGCTTGATCATTGGTCCATATACCAGTTAATTAATTAAAAGAAAGAGAGGAAGGGAGGTGATTTGATGTTGCACGAAATGGGCCATGGAGTATAAGACAAGTGAGGGAGAATTTCACCACCCTGCAAAAGCAATCCAAATTCGAGCCCGCCCAAGTGCGCGGCTTCTGAAAAGCTTCAAGCTGTCACATGGCGCCGTGGACTTTAATTTTTTATTTTCAGCCAAATGCATTGTGCCATACACCACCCTCCCAAAACGAGGAAGGTAAGCAAACATATGCAAACACCCACATGGCCATGTTGTGTCGAGTATGAATGAGATTGATTCGACATTTCAGAAGCTGAATGATTATGCCTGACCTTTTACTCACGTGATCCAATAATTCTCTGTTTTATTCTTGACTCGGGTGCTCCATTGCCAGGCTTTACCTTTTTCCTCATCTGCTACGTCTCTGCTCTGAGCCCCCTTCATCCATTATTTTGTCCAAAGGCTCACAAGAAGCAATACAATTTTTTTTTCTTTTTTGGGGCCAAACAGCAATACAAATTACAGAGTAAAATTCACGCGCGGGATTCAAAGTACACACCTGTGAAATATGTCACATTCCGATCATCGATGATATTTCGTTTTGATTCCTTACTGGGTTTTAAGTCAAGGGTTTCACACCAACCCGACCACCAGCTGACTCCATGTATACACGGACAAGATCTGACTGATGATCAGTTACCATGTTTCAGTACTCTCTCACAGCCTGGCTTCGTTGTGTTTGCTCTTCAGTGTGTACGTACACTCGCGTGCTGTGTCATTAAAAAGAGAGGGACCAGATCCCGCATGCTGATGGGATGAAGAAAATGAGTGTGCCTCACACCCATGCTCATAGTCACATCTCCTTCCACTTCCACAGGTTGCGCGCTGAATCAAAAGGGGCACTTTGAAACTATATGGGTGTGTTAGAATGAATCAAATGCAAAGTGCAACAATTTCCCTTCCATCTTAAAGCTGTGAGTGAATCAACTTGGCATTAACAGTCTCTTGCCATATCCTCCTCAGGAATCCCTGTTTCTTATTAATTATAGGTACAGTTGCTCATGCCGCTTGCCCTGCGATGTGTTGCTGCTTCTATATCTATTATTACTTCAAATCAGGATAACTTCTACTGGTTCAAATTCTAACAAACAAAGTGGTTATAAATCCAGGTTATCCATCCTTGACAAGCTCAATATCTATGTCCTATCTCATTCTTATCTAGTTGAATTATTTCTCAACTACTAAATTTTATTGCTCCCTTGCTATTTTTAATCAGTTAAAATAAGATGAGTCCCATATGCTATATACGGTTATTCCCCCCCCCTTCATACACAACACTGTCTAGAAATAGGGTTGAGCAGTGAAAAGTTGTCTTGTCATATACATCATTTGGTCATTCTTAAATGCAAGTTCCCATGAAATTAAAATTAAATACTTTCCGTGCATGGATAGATGAGAAAACACAAAAAGATGGTTTATTGAAAAACAAGTATGTGGAAATATACTTGTGAAAGAAAGTATTAAAAATCACAATGGCACAAAGCCGAGTGAGAGTTGAGCTGTTAACGTGCGGTTTTGACTACATTTGCGTGTTTTTTAGACAGTTATATCTATATACATTTTCTATTTAAAAATATAAAATATTTTTTATCGAATCTTATCTTTATAAAATAATTATTTATTTTTAAATTAATTTTATCTTTTTATATGTACCTTTATCTAATAGAGTATTTGTAACAGCCCTTCGCTCACCCCGCCTATCCGATATCTTTTGCGGCGTTGGATACTCTCCCCCAGGCCCCACAACAGGGCAACCCCACCTCTTTCGGTGAGCATCAGGAGACAAAGTCTTCCCCGCAGCAGTGTGCAGGATTATTCTCCTTACAGAGAGCCTCCTCAGGTTCGATCATCCAACCTCTCCTATATAACAAAGTTGAGGCTGAACCTGATACCATTGAACCACGTGGTTCAATGATAACTGCTGCGGGGAAGCCTTTGTCTCCTGATACTCACCGAAAGGGGTGGGGTTGCCCTGTTGTGGGGCCTGGGGGGAGAGTGTCCAGCGCCTCGGGTGACGGTGAGATCCCGAGGAAGGCTGTTACATTAAAAGGCGGTTCAATGGTACCAGGTTCAGCCTCAACTTTATTATGTAGGAGAGGTTGGAAGATCGAATCTGGGGAGGCTCTCCGCAAGAGGAATAATCCTGCACACTACTGCGGAAAAGCCTTTGTCTCCTGATGCTCACTGTAAGGGGTGGGGTCGTCCTGTTGTGGGGCCTGAGGGGAGAGTGTCCAACGCCTCGGGTGACGGTGAGATCCCGAGGAAGGTTGTTACAGTATTTCATCCTAAACCAATTATAAAATAATTTATTCAATAAGGACACTTTAAAAAAAAACAATGATTATATTTTAAAAGATTAAAAATGTCTTATATTTTTAAATATTTAACTTCTAAAAAAAATTTTATATTTTTTAATGAAGAGAGTATATCCTTAATAAGTTCATAAACTATTGGCTATGATATTTGTATTTTATGACTTTAAACTTTCCTTGAAAAGGGAAGAAACCCAGAGTTGCTCTAATTACATGAAACTTTATTGTTTATCAATGTAATTGTGTTTTTAATTTGGTTAAAGTATATATTTAATTTTTTAACTTCACACAATATTTTATTTTAATTCTTTAACTTTATAAAATATCTTTTTAATCTTTTAATCTTAATACCGTTAGTTTTATCCGAACCATTTTTTATATTAAACTTTATAATGTGAACAAAACATTTTTAAATGATGACATGTTAAATTTATTTTTTTAAAAAAATAATAATGATTGACATAGAATATAATTATTTAAAATTAACAATGTTAGGGTTAAAAGATTTAAAAAATATTTTATAAAATTAAAAGATTAAATTAAAACCTTATATAAATTTAGAGAATTAAAGTATATTTTAGCCTATTTTAGATTTTTAAAGGATTAATTAATGCTTGCCTTTTTATCTCACAATTAATATTAATTTTAACAATATATATTTGTCTACATATATATCAATGCTTTTGTCCATCAAATTTAAATCATCAACGTCAATCAATAATATAATAAATACTAAATAATGCTTAGTTCATTAAATTATTATTAAACTAATTAAATATCAAAACGTACAAATGCTATTATTCATGAGGGTGAGCCTACAAAAATCCGATTTATATGAAGGTCACGTTGGTAATTTCATCCGGCAAAATCTGTAGGGTCCAGAAATTAGCTTGTCCATCGTCGTCGTGGAAGAGGCGCCGATAACGGTGAAATGGAAGCGAGCTCTGTCACTGCCGGAGCAAGCGACGCTTCCGTCACAGTCAGCATCAAGTTCAGTGGCAGGTCGATCCCCATCTCAGTCTCACCCGACTCAACCATTAGTGAACTAAAGTCTCTTCTCGTGCCGCCCACTAATGTCCTACCTCGAGGCCAAAAGCTAATTTTCAAAGGTTTTATTTACAGATTTCTTTCTTCGAATTTTTTTTTGTTTATCTCTCTTTATAAAGGCATCGTATCTCTCGCGAGAATCCTTTTATGGATTGATGATTGGGTATTGTATCAGGAAGAGTTTTGGAGGATTCTCTGACGCTGAAGGCATCTGAATTGACAAATGGCTCCAAGATTATGCTTGTGGCTTCCCAGGGTTTACATCAAGGGGTATTTCGTAGACTCATATTTCTTTTTCTTAAGGGGGGTCTTTTTGAACGTTTAGAGAATTTAAATAACAACCATATACCAACAATCAAGCCTGGTAAAGAAATTATAATTGTAGGGGCACTATTGAAAGATTGCTTTTCATTTACATGCCACTAGAAGCTAATGCAGTTTACATCCTTCGAAACTTAAGCAAGTTATTTAATCTAATTTCTTTGTGTAGGGTGGACCGATCTTGAAAAAAGCCGAGGCTGTACCCAGGACCAGGAGAGATAACCACTCAAGCCTGAGTAGTGATGTAAAGAAACCTCCTGTTAAGAGCAGATTGGAACGATGGACTGCTACTGGAGTTATAGCATTGTCTGAATGCAACTTAAAGGTAACAAACTATTGATGGTTTGTTAAATGTTCGTTCCCAAGGTTTCCCGAAGAATCTAGTTAATGAGAAATTGGTTTTTCCGGGGATTTGATCCATTGCCAGCATAAAACTTTGACACTGCAAGTAAGCAAGAACAAAGGCCGAATTATAAAAGCATTCCAGGATTTCTTAAACTATATTTAAAGTCTTAAAATTAACATGTGGCCTTATATTGTTTACTTTCAGTTTTAACAAGATCTATTTATGCTGGCGGTGAATCAAACTTGAATTTAAGTTTGACAACCATTACAGCAAGACTTAATCTTCAGTTTTGCTTGATGGTGTGAACTAAAGGGATGTGAAAATGGAACGAATGCATCAGGCCCCAAGCTGGAAATAGGGGGTGGAAGTTTGTTATGTAAGCCATTACTGGAAGGTCAATGATAATATTAATTAATCTATTTAGAGTTAATCATGACTGTATATGTTGTTAGCCATGAGAAACTGCTCAATTTTAGTAAATAAAGGAAGGTGAGTAGGAAGGAAAGAAGCATGATTGTAAAGGAAGAAGAAGATACTTCTTGTTTGTTAATTTTTTTTTTTTATTACTCGCCAATTTTGTTATGGTGTGTCGCCTTATTTTCATACTGATTGTAATTTAAGTAGGCCATACCCCATGAAGTGTGGGCATGTGGGTCTTCTGGAAGAGTTCTAGATTGCAGTAACAACTCAATTCAAATCGTGCCTGTAAAAATTGAAAGTCTTACTGGCTTGGAGGTAAGCTGAACTTGTCTGTTTCTTTATATATGTATGGAAATTTTTAGTGTAGCTGTATTTGACACAGCTTGCCACATTCCTAATGTTATAGAAACTATTCCTTAATGCAAATGAGTTGCTGGATGAGTCAATAAGCTGGGAAGGATTAACAACTCTGAAGCACCTAACAGTATTATCTTTGAACCAGAACCAGTGAGTAATTCTTTTCATTTATGATTTCAGGGTGTTTTTGTCTTGGTTTACCTCCATTGAAATATCAAGTTAATTAACAGCAATGCATGTACCTTGTTGATGCTGAAATTGTCCAGAATATTATTGCATATATTGGTGTATCTGGCTTGAAGCACAAATTAAATGAATTTTCATTCAATAAAGTAATATCTCATGTTGCCACAGTCGGTCACCTGTCCAAAGATAAAAGGGTAAAAGGAGCAAGTAGATTTACTAATACGTTCCAGTGGGATCAATTTGCGAACTGCTTGGAGTCACTTCCTTTGCGTTTTGGACTGTTCTCTTAGTTTGGGTACTTTGAATAATATTACTTATATTTATCATGTTATCTTTACAACATAGTTCAGTGAATGCTTCCAATGTTTTTGCCTGATAGATTCCTGTGTTAAGTCAGGTTGCTTGAAGATTATCCATGATGTCCTTTACATAATTTGCTTGATGAACACGTTTTTTCAGTTTGACAACTTTGCCACCTGCATTGGGATCCCTAATGTCTTTAAAGGAGCTGCATGTCTCCAATAATAAGTTGGGTAACCTACCTAATGAAATAGGACATCTGTCAAAACTGGAAGTTTTGCGAGCCAACAATAATAGGTAAATTTGAATTATTTACTTGTTTAAGTATAGTCATTTGTTTACTCAATAAATAATGCCCTTTCAAGTGTGGTCAAACTGGTAATGCTGTTTCTTCAGTGCCTTATTCTTTTCTCCTGTATTTGGCTTGTGGCTCATTTTTAGGTTTCTGATTTACATGTTGTAGAGTTTTAAGGGCCAAAAGTGGAGAAAAAATTACATTTATAGACTTGCCTCCATACTAAGTTTGCAATACATAATACGTAGTATACAAAGTCCTCAAGACCTCCTCAATCCTGTCCCTTTCTACACCCGAACTTTATTGGTTTAGTCCATTAACCTAACCAACTATTTCCCTCACGTGGTAGCAAAAAATTATGCTGATTATCATGTCAGTTTTTCTCAGGATTTGTGCCATCGGCGAACTTATAGGAAACTGCTGTTCTCTTGTTGAGGTACATTTGCTGGTTTTTCTTTTTTCTTTTTTTAACCTTCTTTCCCTTCTTTAAGAAACAAAATATCCAAGTGATGTTTCATTTATGCTGAACTAAAAAAATAAGAGGGATGATATATAAATATATATATATTTAAGATTTTATATAAAATGTAGCATGCTTATCAAGATTTTCTTGTGGAGCAGGTTGATTTCTCATCAAATTTTCTCTCAGAATTGCCAGAGACATTTAGTAGCTTGAGCAGTTTGAAGGCATGTACCCGCTCTTATACCTAACAAATTAAAGTCTTATAGGGCCAGCTTCTTTCTACCCGCGAAATGTTCATATGGATGACAAATAATGGAATGGCTAATGTGGGTTGGGTCAGTGGGACTTCTTTTAGTGATGGATTAGGAGAATAAGTATGGCCTTGAGATTCTTTCACTGCCATTCAGAACTCTAATTTTCACGTCCTTCCAAATGAAGGCAATAAAGATGAAATGACAAGCTCTTATGGAAAATATAAATATACCTCCATATAATAAGACAATAGTTTATTTCATAAAGATAATATTAAAAATATAATTTATACATGATTTCATTCTGTTAACGATGCCCTCCCTTTTCGGCTTACTCCTAAGTGATGAATGACACATGCCATTTTTACTTAATTTCATTTCATTATTTGTCATTTTGTTACCTTTTGAGAGGTACTCACAAACACAGGCTTGGTGTTTCTGGTCGCCACGCAGGCTTTGTATCTTAGTAACAATGCCATGAAATCCCTTCCATCTAAGCTATTCAAGACTTGCCTTCAGCTATCCACTTTGGATCTTCACAATACAGAAATAACTATTGATATCCTCCGCAAGGTATGAACTTTTGCTGCTTTCCTCAGGCATGTCGTTAGGTTTCTTTTCAACATAACGTTTACATCATCGATGTCTCAGAAACCAACAATTATATGGCATCTTAAGAGAATATGCTTGGCCTTGCAGTTTGAAGGATGGGACAATTTTGACGAGCGACGTCGCTCAAAGCATCAGAAACAATTGGATTTCCGAGTTGGAGTTTCTAGAGACTTTGATGAAGGTGCTGATAAAAAATGAACAAATATTGTTTGAGCCAAAAACTAGATATTATTTTACGATGACTGATGATGTTATGACAATTTCCGAAATCTTTATTGTTATAATGAATGCCAAGTTTCTCATGGGTGAAGACATGCTCGGATTTTTTCTTATCTGAAAATTATGTTCCCTGCGGCATTGCATTAACACGTTACTTTGTTAAGGCTAAAGATCAAATGAGACCACGTCAATCTTGAGCATTCATGGTATGAAATGATCGGAAGTCTGCGTCCGTGGAAGAATTTAATTTAATAGCAAATCTAGTTCCTAAAAATCTATTGTTGTCAATCGAATCAAATGTTTTATACAATACGTTTTACTCCTGATTTTGTGGTGTATTACCATCAGTTTATGAATCAGAAATACGATTGTACAATTTAAAATTTAGAATAAAACCTTTTTAAAAATAATTACTTTCTTTTCTTCTGCCAGCTCTTAGAAATAAATTCCGTATTCTGTTCCCCAGGATAAAAACTCTTTTCTTCTCATCAAGTTACAGAAAGCAGAAGCCTACAAAATCAAAAAACTCTTCTCTACTCTGACCATTATTTTAAGGAGTAATTATGTAAATAACCACATTCCATGGCAATTGATAAAATGATGTTTTTTAAATGGTTTTAAGGGTATGTTTAAAAATATACAACAGAACAGAATGGAATGATTATTAATGAAATAAAATATAATGGAATAAGATGAAGTGGAATAAAATAAAACAATTTATTGTTTAAAAGTTTTATCAAAAGAATGAATGATTTTATTTAATAATGATTTACAAAATATTACAAAATTAATTAATAGATTTAAATTAGATATGGTTTTCTCTTTCAAGATTAGGATGAAAGGGAGTGAAAAGAGTGAGAGGGAATGTTATTTATGTCAAACTATTCCATCATCGATATCCAAATTAGAGGGTAAGAAGAAAGACTTGTAATGGTTAAGGATAGCTTAAAATGGTTAAAAATAACTTAAAATATCTTCTCAAACTATTTCGCTCTCTTTAAAATTTTTCTAAACAATAATATAAAATTTTTAACCATTTTTCTCTACTCCCAAGCCATCCTAAGGATGGCTAAAGATAACCTGAAAAATCATCACACGCCATTTCACTCCTTTAAAAGCTTCTCCTAAACAATAAAATAAAATTTTTAATTATTCCACAATATTACAACCGATCTTTCACTCATTTAAAAACTTCTCCTAAACAATAAAATAAAATTTTTAATTATTCCACAATATTCAAACCGATCCCAAAATAAACTCTCAAACAACACCTAAAGAGAAATTATGTAAATAACCATAGCTTTATAATCTAGCCACTTTTTTAACTATAGGAGTAACTACTTTTAGGAGTAATTAAAATCATACACGTTTTAAATTTGATTAAGTTTCATCGAACCTCTCTTATTTTAAAAATATAATCTTTCATCTTTAATAACTTCTCCACCAGAGAATAGGCTAATTATATCCGAATGAAATTAACTTCATACATTTTGGGTCACACATCAATGTTGGCCCCAAAAAAACAAACCCACGCGATAGCAGTGCTAGAAGCCAACATCCAAAAAAAAAAAAATGATCGCCGAATACCAAGGCTCTTTAAATCAGGTTATTAAAAAAAGAAAAGACAAGTCCCACACGAAATGGTAACAGTTAAAAGGAAATGCGAGACATGCAGCCCCAGTAACATCCGGAGAGAAGTTCATCATCCGTTCAACACCCAAGGATCAAATCAAACTCCTCCATGCAATTCCAGAAATTAATGACTTGCAGTCTTACTAACATGATCACGTATGGTCAAAGGAATTCATGCGTGAATTGGGATATAATTAACAGTGCTGGCTTGAGAAGCCACTATTAAATATGTAGAGCTAAACTTGCTGCAGTGAGAGTCCTCTGATCGAGGATACGTCTCGGATGCACCAGATAGGATGAAAATAACCTAACGGAAGTAAATGGATATTTGAGGGATGTCGATGTCATTATCATCATCATCCTCACAGGCCACAACAACATCCAAGTGACAGCGGTATGGCGGAAGTTCGACCTTGGCCACTTCCCTCGCTAGATCTACAATTTTTTTGTCCATTCGGTCTTTGTGCCTAGGGAACATGCTATTGTAGAGCAAACAGCTTCCACATGAAATACTATAAGCATTCAGGCCTTTCTCCTTCAGCCACTCAAGAAGTTGCCTCAGTGTAGGATTATCTTTAAGAATCCACCTGTCCCAAACTGTCCAACTCATATCCTGGTGTTTGAACACCTTAGGCGGAACTGGCTCCGCCATAGAGAAGAGAGGGAGTGCCAGGTTAGCAAATGTGTTCCGATAGTCCTCAAGTTTGTGCTCTCCATCCAAAGCTTTGTAAAGCTCTAGGCAGACCAGACCAGTGGCCATGGCAGTTGAGGTTGCAATAGCTGGAATGATACGTCCTGCAATGAACTTAGCCTTAAGCTTGTCAACTTCCGGAATGCTGTAATTTCTAGCCCTCATGTTGGCAAGGCCAGCTATCATGTCCATGTGGTAGTTTGTATCATCATCCTGCAGTTTGAGTAGGATCATTGATGAAAATGATTAACATGTTTAGTGAAAATGAATTACATCTAAGGAAACAGGTCAGAGCAAGATTTGCAGGAAAAAAAGTCCTAAAGAAATCAAAAACACTAATAACAATCCTACATACACCCGATGAACAAGCTCAACCATGACCAAGAAAGAATTGCTCCAAAATCAACCAATCATGACAATATTACTTAAGACCGCACATAAAAAGCTATCTCAAGTGTGAAGCTGAAATAAGAATCATGCCAATCAGTTGCATAGAAGAAAATATAGAATAACAGACCTTCTCAAACTGAATGGGTTTCATCCTGAAACCTGGAGGCAGGTTTGCCCAGCAACGCTCTAATTTGAGTATTAGATCATTAATAACAGCTGTATCATCTATTGAAGAAGTAGAAAGACTTGTCGCCTTCTCATCTGTCACTATTTTTGCATCTTTCTTTGGCTGAAAATCAGGTACTATCACTTTACCAATTGCTTCAGCCAACTTGTTTGGGTTCTTCACCCAATCAGGGATAGGTATGCCAAATGTTTCTGCCCGAAGTATAGAAGCTGCCATCACAAAATGAAGATGACCTGGATCAGTAGCTGAGAACTGCAGCGGATGAGGGAATCTTTTTGGAGCAGACCAAAACGGAGCTCCAGTACTAGTTGCAGCATCCTCTGGAAAAGTGTAAATCAGCTGCTTCACCCGATTAGCAAAATAATCTTCAAATCTGCAACAGACACCCATGTTTAGGCGACATATATGCAATTAGTGTACTCCCATTACAAAATTACTACCTCCATTCAATTAATAAAACACTTTTGTGGATGATTCTGTGTCCCAAAATATAAGATACTTTGACAAAAAGTTTTCATTAATAGTGTTTTTCCAATACTACCAATCCCATTATATTCTCTCTCTAATATTCTTTCACAGATAGAAGTATTAAATGAATGACATTTCTGGATGTTCATATCTTTGCCTTGAAAAAACAAATTATAAAGCGGATTTAATGAACTTCAGTAGTATGTGTGATTTTGTCGTAAAGTGTCTTACAAATTGGGATAGAGAAAACGTTATTTATAGAATAGTAAAAGCAGCGCAATAAAAGCATACTTCAGACGAGCCCACGTAATGCAATCTTCAAAAGTCACACACTTTTCCCTGTCAAGACACTCAAGAACACGCTCCAAGTTATCCCTTGCCTGAGCATCACCAGCATTCCTCATTGCATTAGTATATTCACTTGGGTTGGTCAAATATGCATTTACTTCAGCAGGAGTTTTCTCAAGCAAGCCCTCAAATTCAGATCGAGCCCACGTCAAGCAGTGGTCAATATTGTGTGGAAATGAGTGTACAGTACACATTGGTGCTTGTTTCTCAGGAGGATCTCTAGAAGCACCATAGTTCTCTGTCAGGTGGGGAATGACCATCTGCGTATTGCACTTTGCTCCAAGAGTTCCTGACTCAAGAAGAGGCTTTTGAAAATACAAGCATCTCTGATCAACATAAAGTCTAGCATTCACATTGTCAAGTGCATTAATCACAACACTCAAGTTTTCCCAAAATGTATCATCAAACACATTTTCAGTTTCAGGGCCAACACGGTTTTGCAGTGCTTCAATATTCAGAGAAGGATTTATAGAAACAGCAGCTGATGCAGCGACTGTAGACTTTGCTTGTCCAATATTCCAATCACGGAAGAGGAACTGCCTGCTAAGGTTACTCTTCTCAATAACATCATCATCAGTAATTGTCAACTTCCCCTGACTTCCACAAGAAACTCCCATCAGCGCAAGATTCTTCAAGAACTCACATCCCAAAGCACCAGCTCCAACAACAAACACTTTAGCTTCTTCTAACTTCTTCTGTAACTTGGACCCAAAAACAGAGATTTGTGCATCATAACGGCTGTTTACTGGTCTAAAATCATTTGGACCTAGTGCTTCTGTAGGAAGTGATTCCACAGAGTCGAAGTAGAAATACTGCAGAGCGGGAAAGAGAGGTTTAAAACACAATCACTAACCAACAAAACAAAGATATTCCAAGATCTAAAAGGAATGCTCAGGGTACAGAGTTGAATGACAAACATGTAAACCCCTAGTTTCTCATATGCTTTATCCCATTCATTATCACACAGCTCACAGTACCAATATGTCACATCCTGCTCCTCCTTTAGGAGGACGAAAAGATTATGGATCTAAATCATCCAGCATATATTCACATTGATCAGGCTGAACATGCATAACATCCAGGTGGGCTTAGGTGTGTCATATCTGTGATTACATGTCTGAATGACCATGCCATGTGCTAAAGCACGCATTATGATGAACTCAAGAACATCAGCAGGTAGGCAAACCTATTAAGCAAGGTACACAGTAAATACAAGCATGACACCACACGAACATTACAAATTCTTGAAGTGGACAGTCGATCCAGTACAGAGTCTATTAAATTGGTAACGTTTCACCAAAATAAAATTAAAATAAGAGTATCAATTTGAAATTTAAAGCAAGAACCAATCATTGACTGACCATCCCATGAATTT